TCCATGGCTCTGGTATAGCGACAAAGTTGCTATATAAATGGCGGGAGCCGCAGCTTCGCAATTTCTCTCACCCAATCATATCTCCTTCACTGTTAACCCTTAACCCCTCCAAAACCCTCCAATCCCCAAATCTCCATTCCCAAATCGAGCGCCGTAGCTTCTCCCTTTCTCCTCCTCCATTCCCTCATCTACTACCTTTTGTTGCAGATTTCGCAATTCTAGGGTTTCTTTCCGTCTGTGAGAAAACCCTAGTTTCTTTTTTTTGGGTTTGTTGCTTTTTTGCAAATTGAGGAAGGGAGAAATTGGAGTAGTTTTCGGAAGTTCTGATTCTATGGAGAGTGCGGCCGCTAGCGGAGGGTCGCTGCCTATTTCATCATCCTCGCGGAAGGAATGGCGAGTTGTTTTGGAGCATCATCCTGTCCGGAATGCTGGGGGAGAGGTGCTAATCTGCGTAGAAATGTTTGCATTACGTTTCTTTTGTTGATGATATAATGTAGGGAATGGGAATAAATGGGTGCCTCGAAATTCATGTTTTGCATTGTTTGAGAGTGAGGAAAAGTGACAACTTTAAGTTGAATGAATATAACTCAAAAATTTGTGGTTTTCTTTAGATTTGATGCTGAACTAGAAGGTGAAATATTTGGGTTTATCTTTTCTATTGTTTGCCCAACTGAACTTATTCACAAAGGAGAAAAATTCAATAATCAACATAGGGTAAAATTTAATTGTTCACGATAATGTAAAATGGATTTTTCTTGTAGGGTTGGAGCTGTTCATTCTTGAGTAAAGATCTTTATTATTTCCAAATTGAAAGCTGAAACTTTTTGGATTAAGCTGTCAGAACTTAAATTACTCATAATTTGATTTGATTACGTTAATGGAGCATTTGTTTTAACTATCGTCTGATTGGTTCTGCTTCTGCTATGTAGGAATTGGAACGGTCAAATTTGGGGCAATCTGATGAGAGAACAATATATGAGGTAAGGATTTTGGTCTCAAAAATGTATTCTAGTTTAAGAAAATGATTGAAAGTGAGTGTTTATGGGTGTCTATCAATCTATCAAGGTACAGCATGGAAGAGAGCCTGCAGATGTTGACTTTGGTTCCATTACAATGGATGGGAGCTTGGATAATGACATATTACAGCAGCGGCTTAACAATGTCACTAGACAGAGGGAGAACCTGCAACATTTGGAGATTGAACTTAGAGCTCAGGCAATTGCAAGATCAGAGATCATGGAAATGCAAAGCAGCTTTGACACCCAAATCAAAGAGCATGCTAATACTGCTGCTAAGCTTCAGGTTGCAGTTCAGAATAACTTTCTTAATTGTGTCAGAGTTTTGTTGACAATGCAACTCTTGCAGAAGAATTAACAAATATTAAGAAATTTATGCAATTATGGTTTCATGTAAATAATCAAACCTGTTGTTGTGAAAGTTGAATATTAGCATTTCGCTTCCTCCTTCCACATTTTGCATTTACATATTTATGCTGGATTTTAAGGACTAATCTTGAAATATGGTTGTTTGCTTGAGCAGGAACAACTCCGTGAAAGGGAGCAGTGTATACATGAACTAGAAAAGAAAGTAGAAGAGAAAGATAGAGAGCTAAATGCAATCAAGTTGGAAAAAGAATCGGTTTGTTAATTTGTTTATCAAGATTTTTTGAACCAGTTTTCCCTCTCAACTAGTATGACTTGGGATGTTGTTTGTAAATTAGCAATTTAGCATTCTTTTCCTTTTTTGGGCAGGCCTGGGCAAAAGAAGACCTCCTCAGAGAGCAAAATAAGGAGCTGGCAACTTTCAGGTGGGTATCTTTGTATTTGAGGTTTTCTTTTATTATTATTATTTTTAATTTTTTTTCTTTATACATTATCCAAGCTTGGAAGTATCTGTTGTATAGTATAATCAATGTAAATCAAAGTCTCTTAGACAGATTTGTACAAGAGTGTACATACATTGCTGCTTATCCTTGTCTAAGCTTTGATCACATTGTGTTCAGGGACTTATTTTTGTCTGAATGATACAAATATATAAAAAGTTGACTTTGGTGGGGTAGTTGAAATTCAAATCTGTATGCATCTATACATATGTATTATGTATGTGTATGTATATATTTTTATAATTTTTTAAGGGTCCAGTTGGCCAGCTCTCAGGCTGGATGTTTCCTAGACTGAATGAACAATAATAGCCTGATTCTTTTCAAATTGTTATACAATAATTTTGCTACTCAGTACATGATCTGGAGTAAAAAGGAGAAAAATGTAGGTGAGGCATAACCTATCTCTTCCTAAGAAGGAAAAAAGACACTTTTTTAGCCCCCCCCCCTCCCCCCAAAAAAATAAAAAATAAAAAAGAGGAAAGTTTTCTAAATATTTTTCATCTGTACCCTGCATTATTTTGCAGAAGAGAGCGTGATCATTCTGAAGTTGAAAGGGCTCAGCATATAAAACAAATACATGACCTTCAAGAGCACATTCAAGAAAAGGAGAGACAATTTATTGAGTTGCAGGACCAGGTCTGTGTTTTTGTTTCTTCTAATGCATACTTCTTCTCTTTATTGAAGAGGTTAAGGCATAACATTTCTGTTGCATGTCATTTTTTTGCCATTTTGAGTTATTGTAAAACTACTTAAACTTCTTTCAGTTGTGAATTTAGTCCATGAGAAACAAATATGTATTTCTTCTTAGCCTTAGGACATGGTAACCACTGGAGTCACTGGACAATATGTCAAATTTAAGGAATGTGATTTTATGAGTTTTTCTATCTTGTGCGATTGGTTCGTATTAAGGTGTAATTAAATAGACCTTTTTCAAATTAATTCTGTGATCAAAAAATGAGTTTGATTAAAAAATTAATGCCATGTGGATGATTATGATTGGTCAATTGAAAAGTCAAAGTAAACACATTTTCAATACAAAATTAATATGAAAAAGGTGTATTTTGTTGCCATGTTTGCAGGGAATTCACCATAAGTTATGTGATAGGTGCTGCATTTTCTAATAGTGATCTTATTCTGCAGTATGATGTTGCTAAGGAAACCATTATTTACAAGGATAAACAATGGAGGGAGGCCCAAGCTTGGATTGCACGTGCACAAGAGATGGATGTCTTGCAGTCAAATACAAACCACTCACTTCAGGCTGAATTGCGAGAACGAACAGAGCAATATAGCCAGCTTTGGCTTGGCTGTCAGAGACAGGTTAGCTTCTGGTTTCTAATTTTTCTGTCTTTTGTTTGATGAAAACAGAGTGGGTGACCTGTTTGTTAAACTTGAATTGAATTCTTTTTGGTAATTGGTGGTAGTTTGCAGAGATGGAGAGACTTCATTTGCATGCATTACAGCAGCTTCAACTTGAGCTGGCCAATGCAAGAGAACAGAATGGTACATATGCTGATTCCCAAACAAATTCGAAGGATTCATCACAGTTTGGTCAGAATAGTGGAAACCAACTAGATGCAAATGGAGCTGCTGCTACAAATACTAATGGTGTGATCCTTCCAAATGGTACTTCGGACAATGTTCAACCTTTTTCTGCTGGTGGTAATGCTTCCGTGCAGGTAGGATGGTAGCGACTCTTTTAATTTTTTGTTCTTTAAAGATTTATCATACTTTGAGATTGTGCCATGCTTTTGTAAACCTGATATTTATGAGCACCCCTATGGCTATGGTTGTCTAAAGAACCCAAGGCCTTGGTTTGGCTAGTGACCTATTGCGACACCCAGCTGACCTGGATTGTATTTCTCCCATCCCCAATTCCCTTCTCCCCAAGTTTCCAAGCATAAAATGGAAATTAATGGATGCCTTTGCTAGGATGTTTATATACTGAACAAATTAATAATAGATGGCCATAATCTGCAGTTTTATGGAATATTAAATCTGTGTAATCACACCCCCTCTTGTCTGCAACTGTCATGGTTTGAAGAAGTTTTGAGTCAGACTTGTTTATATTTTGCAGCAGTACCTTGCAGGCTTGCTTCTTACTTTTATTTTTAATATTGTATAATTTGTTAGAATGATCATGCTCCAAGTGTTCCAATTGCACCATCATCCATACTTGGGATGCATACCTACCTCCCACCAGGACAAGTTACTGCTCTCCACTCATTTGTCATGCATCAACAAGGAGTTCCCCAATCCATGTCATCACATGTTCCTCAATCTCATGTTGGGCATTTTCACTCAATGGGAGCAATGCCATCCATACAGCAGTGGCAGAACCAGCAGGTAAAAGATGAAAGCATTATTGTATTTCTTTCATGGTTTCTAATTTATATACTTATGGGAATATAATAGTTTTGCAAGTTTCATCTTGTTCAGACTGCAGTAGATGGTTCACAGTTATCTGGACATAGTCAAGTTCCAGCATCCCAAAATGATCAAAATCTTGTGAGGTCAGATGGGGAGTATGAAATATCTGTTAACCAGCAAGTCATTGGTCCAGAGTATCTGGATCAAGTAAACCAAGGGCCTGAACCAAATTCTGTTGTAACATCATCAACTGGGAAACCAGAGGTTCTCTACTCTCTGCTGAATCTATTCACATTGTTTGAGGCGCTGCCCCATTTTGTTTCACTGGATTATTCCTTTGCAGGTCCTTGAGTCTGTCAATTCAACTTACCTTGTTGCTGCCCAACCTGAGCACATGCAACAACTTTCTTCTCAATTTCATGAGACATTAAGAATGAGCTCTGATGAACAGAGGATTGAATCCAAGGTACATTATTATTTTGCTTTCATTTATCTGAATTGGATCAGACTCCCATGAGACCAGTTTGGTTAGTCTAAAAGCAGCTGGATAATAAAATATATAGCAAACTTTGTTTCAATTTGTATTGTTTCAGGAACAGAATATCCTGAACTTGAATAGTCATGGACTGGAGAGCCAAGTTTTAACAGCAGAAGAAGCTAGTTCGGCTGCCAGTGTATCTCCACCCGATACTTTAGAGCTTTCTTTTAATGTCAGTGAAACCACTATCAACAATGGCACTGGGCCAGTGTTGCCTGATGCTTTTATCTCAGCAGGGCAGGTGAATACAGTGATGGCAGGAAAGACTTCTGAGATTGCTCTGCTTGATGAACGGTCCTTGTTGGCTTGCATAGTTCGCACTATTCCAGCCAGTGGCAGAATTCGGATCAGTTCAACGGTTAGTGGGTTTGTGGATGATGAATCACTGGTCCCCTTGGCTGGTATTGGAGTGTTTCGTAAATTATTATTTATTTTATTTCCATTGCAACTGCAGCTACCAAACAGGCTGGGCAAGATGCTTTCTCCCCTGCACTGGCATGACTACAAGAAGAAGTATGGGAAGCTGGATGACTTTGTAGCCAGTCACCCGGAGGTGAGTTTATTGGTGTTTATGGCCTTACATTTTTCTGGTGCATTTGCATTATATTTCCTGAAGATGTCAATTTTTGGGTTCAGTTGTTTGTGATTGAGGGGGATCATATTCAGCTTCGTGAGGGAGCACAGGAAATGATAGCAGCTACGGCTGCTGCAGCCAAATTTGCTGCAGCAGCTGCAGCAACGCCTCCTCGGTCCACATTTTTGCCTTCAGTTGCTGTTACTCCAATGGCACAGCCTCACCGACTGAAAAAGCTCTCATCAGTTGATTCCAACCATGTGAAGAATGATAATGCCGTTTTCAGGGAATATACAGCCATCACAACAACCCCAGCTGATGCTTCACAGTTCTCAGTTATGCAGAATCAACCTCCTAATGGTATTGGTTTTGGCCTGGCTGGAGGTCTTTCAAATGTGAAAATTTTGAGCAAATCTAAAGATTCTGAACTTAATGCTCCAAATTTTAACCAATCAATCATGACTAGTACCGAAAACAGGGGCTCAGCTCATGCTAGGTTTAATGCAGGCTTTGTGGGGAAGCAGCAAGGCAGGTATGCGGTTTAAACTTAGTTTTCCACAAATGTTTATGTGAATGTATCAGTTTCTGCTACTGAACAAAAAATCTTTTTCTGATTGGGATGCATTGAGTATTGGGTTTATTGAGTGTCATTGCTTTGTGGCAGGACAAGTGGGTCAGCAGTAACTTCCAGAAGATAGTGAGTGCACTTTGCTTTTGAAGTTGTTTTTGGTTTTTATTATAAATCTCCCTTTGATATGCAGCATTTAGCATTCTGGGTCAGTTCTTTAGCTTGTTTTCTACCTTCCACTTTGATGATATTGTATAGTTAAACAATATGATATGATATGTGCTTTCTCTATTCGCATTATGCTTGGTTTAAGTTATTGAGCTCATGTCTGATCCCAGAGATGCAGTAATAGCATGAAGTTCTTTAAGATTTCATAGTTCTTGAAATCCTTAATAATGGGTAGGTCTAGTAACTTCTTGATCTTTTTGGTTTGCAGGAAAACTCTAAATCACAATTATAGAATTGAGATGTTGACTAGTGGTGATTGAGAATTCGAGAATTCATGGGAACTGATTTGCAACAGTGTATGATTCTTGTTTGGAATCATCACCAATCATTTGCATCAAGAACATTTCTCTGATTGAAATTAGAAACTGACCTTTTAAATTGGTTTGAATCCTTTGGCCGCTTGTCTTGGTTATAGGGAAAAAAGAAAAACGATTTAATGTTATTGTGTGTTCTTATTCTGCTCAAGATGCATGCTTCTAACTTCTTTCGATGATATTTGTGCACCCAATTTCATCTAGTTTCTTATGTCATTTTACTTTAGTATCATTTGGTCATTTTGTCCCTTCCTTGCATCCTGTTATTTCTTCTTGTTGCTCCTTTTTCTCTCTTTCTTTCTTTCTTTCTCATTTTTTTTTTTTCAGTATATTGGAGGATTTCCTACCAAGCGTTTCAAAAGTTTTAACTCCAATGATTTCAAACAAGGATTTGAGTTAATGAGTACCAACCTGGAAAAATTTTTATTGAAAGATGCCTATGATTTTTACCATTTAATTCTTGCCATCAGATGTCTATAAAATATTTTCTTGTACAACTGGTTTGGATTATATATAGTGTGATAACTTTCGCTTTTCCAAACTCTCACTCTGCCCAAGGTTTGAACAAGAGACTTTTATGTGAGTCGCAGGCTCTTAACGAGCCACTCCATAATAATAAAATGGAAAGTCTAACGCAATATCTTCGAAAATTTGAACACTGAACTAGTGGTCCACAGAGCTTCCCGGTCCTAGGTCATTCTAATAGGCGGATTCATCAATCTGGGTCTGGTTCAAGGTCTAAAGATTGGTTCATATTAAAACTATACCCTACTCTGGTCACTGTCAAGTTGGTTCTGCCCAGTTCGTGGACACCTGATCCGTTGCTCCCCCCTAATTAAGGTCACTTCATGGGATCAAACTCTACTATTTAGAATCTTGCTCGGTGCAGTCAATCAAATTGTATTGAATTTGGCAAGGAAAAATGACTGTATTCAGTCCTGCCTTCCTCAAGTTTTCGGTTTTCCAAAATAAGGAAATCCTATTATAATATTTTGGGAGGTTTGGGGAGAGAGTTTCTAAGTAACAGTCTGTATCTTGCAGGCGAATTATTTTGGACCAACCTTCTAATGTACTTATAGTTTGTTTGCCAATAAAGAAAAAGAATTGAAAAGATTGAACAGCCTTAGTCTAACTGTATGACGTCTATACAAGGCGTGCCTACAACCAGAAGAGTGCTTGTAGAAGCCCCTGCATGCTGCAAGCAGTGGTTGAGGTCACATTAGCCTCATGTTTTGGGTATCCTCATTGTTATGTCCATAAGCTGACTTTCCACGGCTATCTCCGGTACCTAAGCCATCTTGCATGTTTCCTGTCATGCTCATGAAATTGTTTCCAAGTCCAGTTTGCATGGCCTGATACATGTTGCTAGTGGAACCCTGTCTTGTGCTCATCTGTCCATGGTTGAGTTGCTGTTGTTGGAGGTATGGCGGCTGCAGCTGCTTCTGCTTCTGCTGCTGCTGCTGCTGCTGCTGCTGGGGTTGGTCAGTCAACTGGAAAACTAAATTTGGAGGGAGTAAACTTGGCTGTGCCAGTACAGCTTGTAAAGGCTGCCCAAACAGCTCTTGCTGTGGTGCTGCTGACTGAGGAGAAGTCTGCAACATTTCACCAGAAGGTTTTAAAATGAATTCCTTTGTCAAAACAATTGAATAGGACAAGATTTTTGAATGCGTACCTTAGAAGATGTAGCTGGATCTTGTGGTTTCGCATCTGCAACTCTAGACAGATACAGTAAATTGTTTTGCAGCCGGGTTTGATATCTGTATCGTTGTTGCCAACATAAAATAGAAAATTAACATCTTGTGCAGCGGAATGCTTTTCTCAAGACTACTAAAAAGATAATATATGTGCTTGATAAACGTCAATCATATTGTTAAAACACATTCTCCATGCATCCATCAATTGCTACCAAAGAGTACTGCCAGACTTGTATCTCCTACTATAAATTACCTCCCCTCTGATCTTCCGAAAAAATATAGCAGATAAGATAAATAGAATAACGGGAGTTACCCCAAAAAGATCTTCCCTTGCATCTCTAATGTTGGTTTCATGCATGCACCTTTTTATTTATGTTGCTTGCCATGTCTTGGCCTAGTATTGGTTAAATAATTTAAGACCTTCAAGCCTACCACTCAGATTTCTATTTTGACACTAAGAACAGAATCGGCTCGCTATGAAGGTAGAAGTCCTCTTGAAATCCTTCTATATATAAAAAGGATGCATGATATTATGAGCAAAGCAAATTCACCGTATCACCGTCAGTCAGTTCACCCATCAGTGTACCCAAATGATGAAGGATCATCTCTAAAACCTAATAATATTAATAGAAAGCTGTTGCCTTTTAAACCCATGTCAACAGCACTGGTATCATTCAATAAAAACCTTCAATCATTTCACCAGCTCCCTATAAGTTCACACATTCAAAATGAGTAGAAGATATTAACCAAAATATATAAAGCTCTTTCTTCATTTATTGGAGAACAAGAACACATGAGAGCTTGAAATTAGGGGGAAAAATGGATCTTTTAGAGCAATGGTAATTCTAACTTTTAAGGCCTACATAAAGGCTTCACTTGTGCAAGGTTTCCATCAGTTACCTACAAGGAAAGAAGGCAAACTTATCCTCCTAAATTGTTATATCCTTCAATTGTCTTCACTCAACCATTGTCCCTAAACCATTTCTAGATTTAAAATTCTTGTAATACAACATTTGGAGGAAGATTTGCATGGTTGAAGCTATCAGGTCACAACTTCTAAAGTGTAAGAAATATGCAAGACAACAGAAAACAATGAAGCATAGAACAGGAAAGTACAAACTAAATTACTTCAAGGAATTGAATTGATTCACCGAAACATTAAGCCTGCTGCAACAGTCTGAGATCCATAGCTAATAACAAACAAAAGAGCATTACATTTAAATGTTCACTTACGGGGCACTTTCCAAGTACTTTCCTTGGCTATGTTGTTCTAGTATTGCCATAATCAACTGCTTATTCTCATCCAGACACTGCATCAAACATTGTGCTCAAAATCATTTTATCAAAGATACTTGAAAAAGGAATATGCATAATATATGAGTGCTTAGCCAATCACTTATAACAGCATGTATCAAATCATTCGAGATCACAACTAATAAATTTGAACATAAACAAGTTTGTTCTCTCTGATTTACAAGTTATCCTTAATTCAACATATAAAAATTGATAATAGTCCAAGCTTACCATAATCAAAACCATTTAGTAGGGTAAAAAAATTGTTCACACAAACGAAATATTGACTTAGCTAACATGTTACCAAGTGAAAGTCATCCATGAGATTGTACTAAAAAGTGATATTACAAATGAAGCAGTGACTTTGCTAAAATGTCATTGTGTGAAAGTTCACCATGAATTTCTGCTGGATGCTACGTAGCATTCTCAAATTAATACTTATCTGCAGATCTCCCTACTAAGATTACAGATAAACTCATTTAGAATGGATCAAAGAGAAAGCCTAGCAAACCTATACTCTTTAAGAAGATGGTCCTTTATGTTCTTCTCATAACATAGTTTATAAAGAGCATTATAAGTTAGGAAAAATCTTACACACCGACTGTGTAGAGAAGAAACACAACCATTCTTGCAATCAAAACTCTACCTCTATACAACACAAGAACCCGAATCAACTTAAGTTCTGCCTTCTCTGCAAAAGTTTTCTTTTAGTTATAAATTACAAGATTCTAAGGAAGAAAATCAAGAGGCCTAATTGATAGCGACAAGCTAAAAGCAACTTTAACCGAGTTAGTATCCACTAACTTCATAACCTTAATACCTGAGTCGGTAAGGGGTCAAACCTCTTTTTTTTTTTTTTTTTCTTTCTTTATGATTGGTGCAGCAATTCTATTTTGTGTGCAAGAGGTATTGGTTAAGTAGGAACTTGTTTTGGTATGGTGTCTACCTCATTTGTTGTAAGATCCAAGTGAGCTAATTGTTTTCAGGGTTAGAATAGCACTTGTACTCTCAATTAATAAAAATTTATTTGGCTGATAAAAAAAAAAAATTATAAGGATCAGAATACTCTTTGTACTCTCAATTAATAAAAATTTATTTGGCTGAAAAAAAAAAAAAA